TCAGATTAGGTTGAAATGACAAAACAAACTTTTTTCTTTTTTTTTTTAACTTTATCATGGCTAGCATCTTCTGAGCTCAATGATTTAATCAAATCTAATAGGATGGAAACCTCAAAGCCATAACAACAATAAGGAACTTTGGACAAAGCCAAGCTAAGCTGCAAAGGCTTAGCTAATTGCCAAATTGGCTTCAGCTCCAGAGTGATATGGATCTTAACTCCTGAAGAGAGGACAGTGTGCTTTTCAAAATGTGGAAGCCAAACTTCCGGTTCTCTCCAGCAGCCAATAGAGTAGAGTTGTATATTAGAGGGCAGGAACATGAACAATCTGCAAGTCTGCACAGATTTAATGTAATGATAGAAATGTGTTATCACCTGAAGAAGACCATTTGGTTGAAACATTCTGATTTAATAAGGTTTTTGTGGTATTGAGCAAGTGTTTTTGAATTGCCCTGCAACTACGTGATGTGCATATTACCAGCCTTTTTTTAACTAGAGATTTAGAAATATTGCATCTTTAATTTGGATCTTTTATCTGAATTTAATTACACACAAAACATCGTGTGATTCAGTGGCATTCAGCAACTTCAGTAGTTCACGATGAAAGAGTAGAAATGCTCAGCAATGCTTTAAAATATATTCTAACTTGTCACAAATGTTGAAATGCAGCAAAACAATTGACCTATTCCTTGAATAATTTTGAATAAAAAAGGCCCTGATATTCTGCTTACCATGTACATACTCAAACAGGACTGAAACAGATCGTATTAAGGGAAGGTAATATAATTTCTAGTTCAGATTGCAGTGGCTGTAACTCCTAATGATGGCCATTCGAGTCGCTCCTGTTGCTCCTGAAACTTTAAATAAACCTGGAAAAGAAGTTCTATATTTCCTTCTTAATCTGATTTTGTAAAATGTCTGTAATTTCTTTATTTGTCTGTATGAATGGTCGTTGTTCATTCTAAACTCTAGAAATTGTGCTGCTGCCTGTCTTGGCAGCAACACTCTTGTTTTTTTTGTCACATCAGGCCCTGTCTCTTTAAAGGTCAGTTGCTCTTTGACTGTTAGTAAAGTAAAGATGTTTGTCCAGGACGGAGCCGATTCAACACCTGCTACCTCTGTGTTTTGTGTGGCTCCGTTTTGTTGCTCTACTGTTCAAATAGCTAACACATGACATGGGGCAGGTGGTGACTGACTGAAGAAAGTACCCTTTAGAATTAAAGGGTATTTGAAATGCAACATGTTTCATAAAGAGGAAAAAAAAAAATACTGGAAAAAGTTATTTTATGAAATGGTGCTCATGTGTGTCTATGTTTGAAGTAGAATCAGTACGTCGAAGTAGAACAGTCTCAACCTGAGCCTACTCTGTCCAAAGCCTCTACTTTCAGAAGTTTTCTAGTTATACTGTGTTAGATTGGATTCATGCAAAGGTATCAGTCCCTCTGATTAGAGCTGTTAAGGTCCCTCTGGTCATTCCACACACACACTCTGTTACACACAAACACACTCACATTTATCGACAAAGTCTGACCCGCGGATCAAAGCTCGGTGCTCTAATGAAAAATAGATTTGCTGTTTTTCAGTCTGCTCATCCTCCTCGTCCTTTCCTCCTAATCTCTTCATCTTCTCAGGTTCTCCTAATGCTCCCCCCCCCACACTCCCCCATTATTGTCTATATAAAGGTATCTCTGAGGATAAGAAGCTATCTAGCTAAATAGCTGTTACATTTACTTTGAAATTCAACTTGTAAAAACTTGGCATCATGTTAAAATGATTCTGCTACATTACACTAAAACATTAAAATGAGTACAAATGGGAATTTGGTTATATCAAAGCTTAATTCGAATATAGAAAATAAAAAATCTGCCTCAGTTACAAAATTAGCCACTATTTTGACATTTTACTTTGTGTACTGTTTACTGTTCATCATGAAAAATCACGACCCGCATTTCAGATATTTTGTAACCAATCAGATTCATTAAATGACAAATGGTGCTGTTTGGACCTCAGAAGGAACAAAACATGACAGAACAACGATCCAAAATGAAAACAAACATGTTTTAAAAGCGCTTCACAGAATTTTTGATACAATGTTTTTTCCAGGCACATATTCACAACCCACAGTAAATGGCTCCGACATTTGGGTCCCGACCCACCAGTTGAGAAACACTGTTTTAGTCCATTTAACCACGAAATGAAACATGAACTTACAGTGAAGCTAAGTGGTGCTCCTGATGAAGGTCATTGGTGAAGAAATAAAAAGATAAAAAGAAGAGGAATTTATGCAGGAGCAAAAATATGTTTTTGGTTTTAAATGTTATCTGCATTGTAATTCAACAAGCCCATGTCAGAGATTTGATTGTGAAAGATAACTTATTAACAAGGCTAACTGGTGAACTGTTGCACCTGTTGTTGTTTTCACTCTTTCTGGTCACCAGAGTCTGGTGTAACACGGGGTATGTAATAAGGAAACATGTCATCAATCAATTGTAGTTTGTGTACTGTAAGGCCACTTCATAACAAATGTTATCTGAAGACACTTTACATATAGAGCAGGTCTATGGACGAGTGGTTCTCAACTGGTGGCTTGGGACCCAAAAGAAGGTCGCAATTTCTCTTGGAGGAGTTGGTGGTGGGTCCTTTGGCTAGACGAGATGAGAACCACTGATCTAGACTTTACTCTTAGATATATGGACCAAATATGAATCCAGTCTCACACTGTCATAATCTTCTTAATGTGCATTCACTAGCAACAACCACATGTGTTTGAGCTGATCACGGCCCAGACTGTGCCTAGAATTAGACAAACAAGATGAAGGATGAGGAAGGAGGGTGAATGGATGATAGGAAAGGAAGGATGGGTGGGATCGAAGAACAGAGACAAACAGGGTGGAGTGGGATGGCTCAGAATGAGGAAGCTTGTCAGGTGATTGAAGGTGTAATATATTAACTTCATATAATACAAGTGTGCTTTCTCTACCACACGTACTAAATGAAAAGAGACACTCTGCTGCGGTGCTAAAAATGTGATCTGGATACATGGCTCTAAAAATAACGAGGGTGCAACAAGCATTTTTACCAAAGGGTGGAGGTGATCTGAGGGTATACATGATGTTTCCACGTTCCCAAAGGCTGCAACTACTGAAAGTTTTAGGAGTCAGTGGAGAACATGGAAAAAAAAAAGCCATTTTTATGTTTCATGGTGTTTTAAAGAAGATATTCCCTGCAGCTGAGTGCACTTACGTCACTGTTTCTCTGGATCTATTTCATGTCATAACCTCCTCATACTTTTTCCTCTGAAGGCAAAGTATAAAATCAGATTTTGTTACAGTATAGTCACGATACCTGCGAGTCAGCTTACCTCTCTGCACACACAGCATCACACGCAAATTAAATCACCTCTGGAGCTTCATTTCTTCCTCTCCACATGCTCTTACTCACACTCTTAAGTGCAGCCACAATAGTAGCGCTGCGTCCCCCGGTTAAACAGCCGGGTAATTGCAGCCATCATTTGTGAGAGTGGTTCAATTTATAGTTGAGAGGCGGTGTGGGAGCGCTGTGTGTGACTGGGTGTTTGTTTAGAAATCTGAGCCTGTTTTTAAAAGGGGATGAATGGTGAGGGTTAGTTCACTGTTGTTATGGGAGAGAGGGAGAGAGAGAGAGAGAGAGAGAGAGAGAGAGAGAGGTGAGCTGCACTCTAAAATACCTTTCTTTTTAACTGCCTCTTTATCACTCTGTTACTCAAACAATATGACATCACAGGCATGGTTGAAAGCTGTAAAAAAAAGGGAAATGAAATGAAGCCTCTGCTGTTTAAACACTTGTAATTGCTGTTGTTGTTTCTATTGTCTAACTCTCCACATTTGAGTTGTTTCACTGATTGCAGTGAGTCAACAGTGTGCTCATATTTCCCACTCCAACAGCATTTATTTATTAGTCTATTCACCATAGTTTGTGTTTTGTTTTGAGGACACAAAGGTACATTGTCTTCACCTTTTGAATTTTAGCTACAGTATCTTTCACTTGACGTTATTTCTTTATTTCAGACACAGAGGTCCATATCAGCATCAAAAGAACAGATCAGTTGTGGCAGAATTATTCAGATTTTTTCAAAACAAAAAGTATGCACTAGGTAGAAAAATGCCCCCCTGTCAGTTTGATCTTGTTATAAAAGGTTTTGATATTCTAATTAGGGATTTAAAAAAAACAACTAAAATATAAAGATCTTTTCTTGTATAGAAAGTAGGGAAGTATAAGGCACTTTCAACATGCGTTTTTATTGTGAGAATAAATTAGATTAGATTAGATTAGAAAACTTTATTGATCCCCAGCAGGGAAACTCATTCGTCAGCTGGTCAATTCATACACACAACAAACAATATTGACAGTATATCACAGTAAACAACAAGTAATCTGTACTTAAAGTCAATGAACAGTTTGACAGAAGTGTGATATGCATTATTGAGAATGTGCATGATTCTGATTCTCTTTTTAAATAAAAAAGATTTTTAAAAGCTAAAATGTAGAAACCAGGATTGTCACTAATGAGCTTGGCTGCTATAGCAACAGGGTTGGCTAATAAACTGCCGCCTCATTCAGGCACTCTTCAATGTGTAATGTATCGTGTTATTGTTTTTATTGTTGGGCTCCGGTGTCTTGGCATTTGTTTTTGAAAAATAAGCATTGTGACAGAAGCATTGGGCTAGTGTGTTCTGAAATAAATCATCCCATCTTTGTGTTTCAGATTACGGTCTCTCTCACCATGTGGGGAAAAACTAATGAGGCGTTCCACTAAACCAGGACGAGATTATCTAAAGGCAAAGACGACTCTACATCAAATCTTCTTCTGAAATCTTCTTGGATAAGGACTAACTCTTCTTCTACTGTTCTTTCTCAAGAAATAAAAAGTAACAAAACAGAAAAAGTATCCAAGAGAGATCCTTCAACACTTCTTCAAGAAATTCCCCCCTTTGACTTTGACCCTGACCTGTAGCCCTCAGTATGAGCAGCCTGGCGGTGAAGCTGGACCCTCGGAGGGTACAATGGGGCGCGGCGTGGAAGACCTTTACCACCCGCGTCCTGAGGACCAAACCTGTGGAGTCCATGTTGGATTCATCCATGTCGGGCACGAGCTCACATGGGACGAAGCTGGCCCGGGTGTTATCCACTGTGGACCTGGTGTCTCTGGGTGTGGGCAGCTGTGTGGGGACAGGGATGTACGTGGTGTCTGGGCTCGTTGCCAAGGAGATGGCTGGTCCGGGGGTCATTGTGTCCTTTATAATTGCCGCCGTGGCCTCCATTCTGTCAGGTGAGAGACTTTTTTTTTCAGCTTTTAAACACTCTCTTTCTCTGACTGTACGACACCAAAAGGCCACAGGAGAAAAGGTTACCATTCTTATCATCATTCCACTGTAAGGATTGATATGAAAAGCCTTTTAATAACTGTGCAATTATAACAAGGGCAAAGACATTATACAGGCAGAGCTATCATATGAAAGGCACTCGAGGCATATCTTCTCACTACCTTAATGCTGCTATCAATTCCTGCACCTCAGCCTTTCACTTGGATTATAATGCGTAAGTGTGTATGAATGTGTGTCTGTGTGCTGCAGGAGTGTGTTATGCAGAGTTTGGCGTGCGGGTGCCTAAGACCACAGGTTCGGCCTACACGTACAGCTACGTGACGGTGGGCGAGTGCGTGGCGTTCTTCATCGGCTGGAACCTGATCCTGGAGTATCTGATCGGCACGGCGGCCGGGGCGTCAGCTCTCAGCAGTATGGCCGACTCGCTCGCCAATCACAGCATCAGCAACTTCATGATTACACACATCGGGACGCTCCACGGATTAGGTTAGTTGGCGTGCATGTGTGTCCCTGACAATGGACTTCTTTTTTTCCCCTCCAGTATTAAGATTAAGATTGACAACATCTTTTCCTCGGGAGTTTATAATTAGATTTAGTTCAGGTCTATATGATAAGTATGCTGCTGCCAGTGATTCAACAGGTCTGTTATAGTTATGTATGCTGCATACTTAAGACATGACTCTCACTAGAAGCAGTGGAAGTCACTGGCTGAGATCGATGAAAAGAGTGTGAAGACAAACCCTTTAGAAGAAGACTGACTTTTAACTGGGTTCAAGTTGAGTCCTGGTCCTTAGCCCTCTCCGTCCCATCAACAGAACCCTTCTGTCCCACATGGACTCACCTGCTGCTCGGCAAAGTTAAACGACGTGCGTGTGAGCCAGCTGCACCAGTATCACAAGCCTGGGTACTGTAAATGGCCAAACTTGATTGGTCAGGGCTTCACACATGAATTCAGCATAATAAGAAAATCGTGTTAAATTGCATTCAAATATCATTTATGAATAAATCAGTAAGGAAAGTCTATTTTCTCTATTTCGATTTATGGTGGGGTCCGTTTCACAACTGGGTTGGCACAGTCCAATAAGGCCCACACATAATGCAGAGGCTGATTCAATATCTAAAGCACAAGAACCCTAACAACAACGGCATAACCAGAACAACCTCATAAGCCAACATATGGAATCAAACAGCATATGAACCTTAGCCACACAAGAACCAGCAGCAAGAGTAGAGACCGTGTTCTGTAATTTGCAGAGTCATTGTTTTCTCAACAGGAGCACATTTCAAATATCATCACTTTCTTCCAGATGACATAATGACAGCAGCTCCATGGGTGGGCTTACTTGAAGGACAATAAATATTTGAAATTCTGATCGAAAGGAAATTTCACCATCTGGGAAATCACCTAACCCGTGATATTTTCCAGGGAGCATCTCAGAGATGTTTCACTGTTTATCTTGGAAGATTATGTCAGTATTGACAGTTCCAGCCGCCCTGATATCTTGGATTTCAAATGAAATCATGTAACACGATTTTCCAAGGACATAAACTGTGAAAAGAGGGGAATTCCTGATAATCTGCTGTAATACTATATCTGCTGTGAGTGCCAGCTGTGTCTATCTGGATGACACCACCCTGACAGTCTCTTCCTGTTAGACAGGGTGGCAGCGGTCACATGATAAGCTGCCCAGCCAGATGTTCCACAACATAACGGAAACGTCATGTTTCCTTTTTCCTGCTGGAGAAAGAAATACACACTGCTGTTTCTGTACAGTACTGGAATAATGGGACTTTAGCTCTAAATATGTGCTCACCTGTTTGCTGAGGTAGACTGAATAGTAGAAGCAATGCTGAAACAAAGTGAGAACATTCTTGTCCAGAAAGTGTCTCATGATGATTTGAGAAAATACACCAGTTTGATAAAGATGACCAGCTTTAAATACGAGGTGTGATCTGACTCCTTAAATGACGAGCTTTCAAAGGTCATAAACAGAAAACAACTTTAAAGGGATTTTCCCCCATCTTTTGTGAGCATGTACAATCAGTATTCATCGTTAATGTAGCAGAGTGAAATAACAAATTCTGCAGTGTGTGCCATACTCACCAAGAAAGCAAATTGCTCCTGCTCACAGAGCTCTGCGCAACACTTGTATGCATCAAAAATGAGCAGCAGCCTCTGCATCGCTCTGTACTGTATTCTTTGGAGGGTACATTTTGGCTCAGTAAAAAATATCCTAACCTTTAAGTCAGCAAACCGTCTGCGCCACCAATTAAGACAAATAATGGTGCTAGTGTCCCCAGAGACAACCTGAGCAGCAACAGCAGACTTTTTTCAAACTATTCAGATATCTTGTATACTAATGAGGTTTAAACCCTGCAAAGTTCTCCCTCAAATCTGTCAATTGTTCATAAATCAGGCAAGATAAACTGGTCACTCCTTCTCAAGTGATTTTCTTCTTTTCTTTGATTTGCATAATTTCAAACTGAGAATGTGTGCATTTGAAAGTATAGCTCGAACAAAACCAGGCATTTCACGTTGTCACCATACACCTCGGGCCTTGCACATATATCTATTAGCTTCGTTTTTGCAGGCAAATCTTCATCACACACACGCCACAAAAATGCTTGCATGGCTGTTTGTCTGTGAATTAGCTGTGTTCTAATCTTACTCGTATCCTTCAGGTAAAGGGGAGCAGTCGTATCCCGACCTGCTGGCTCTACTGATAGCGCTGCTGGTGACGGTGATAGTGGCACTAGGAGTGAAGAACTCAGTGGGCTTTAACAACGTGCTGAACGTCATCAACCTCGTCGTGTGGGTGTTCATGATGATCGCCGGGCTGTTCTTCGTCAACGGGGAGAACTGGGACGAGGGCAGATTCCTGCCATTTGGCTGGGGAGGGGTACGTACATGCTTGGAAATAAACACCCAATGTGAATGCACAAGGAATCAATTAAACAGGAAGGTGGAGATGCTGACATAGTTTAGGCCAAACTCAATTTTCTTTGTCTTTCCTTTATTTTCTTCCAGGTGATGCAGGGAGCAGCCACCTGCTTCTATGCCTTCATTGGATTTGACATCATTGCTACAACTGGAGAAGAGGCCAAGAGTCCCAACACCTCCATCCCCTATGCCATCACTGCCTCGCTCATCACCTGCCTCACTGCCTACGTCTCTGTAAGTGACCCACCACACCACTGACATACCACTCACACAAACAAGAAAAAATAAAAACCTTCGATTTTTGGCAATGAAGGGATATAATGACTTCACTTTTAGCACAACTAAAAAAACCTTTGAATTCTGTCGTGAAGGGACCCTGAAAGTGTTCCCTCAAACTTTTAGAGTGTGTGACAGACGGAGGGAAAGATCAAACATCAAGATGCTTCCCTCACACTCCGACTGTGTGGGTGTGTTCTGTATCTGTCCTCTGATCTTTACGTATTCAGCTTGCACAGCCTACCAGATGCCTTACTTTAACACGTTTGGATGGTTGTTGCTATGGGTACCATGTAACCTCGGCCTATGAGGGAGGAGAATTCTTTTCGACATCGCCCGGGGGCCAAAGATTGCATCGACTTTAAATCTCAACTACTTGTCTCGGAATAACTCGTCTTTCTCTTCGTCTTCCAGTCACATCTATTTCTCCACATCACCCGTCTCCCGTGCTCCAAAAACTACTTTCTAAGCTTCTCTTAATCTCTGACTCTCTTTGATCCAACTCACTCTGGAGGCATCTTTGAATTAATTTTTCTGCTTCCATCTGGGAACCCATGGCTGCGGGATTCAAAGATCCAGGACTCAGTTTAATAATTTAGCTCCGTACATGTCACATCCTTTTTTCTGGTTGAGTTGTTTAAACAGGAGAGTTGCATTAGAGAAGGAGTTTCCCTTAAAAATGTGTCAAGGGAGTAAAAAACTCAAAAAGTGACGCAGTGAGGGGGAGTTTTATGATGACAGAAGTTCTTGGGAAACCCCTTGTTATCAGTGGGGAGTCACATGACCATGCAAGACTAGCTTACATTGAGCTAAAGTGGGAACTGTAGGGAGCAGTTTAGAACGAGATTACTCAGATTCTTTTAAGGATTAGCCATCGCGTCCTTTGACTGATTCACACACTCTGTCAAACCGCCTATAGCCCGGAATGGTCAAAGGGTTTTAGATCAGTAGGGAAAGTGATCTCTCTATCTTCCTTAGTCTTTTTTATCATTCCTACGACTTTGCAATCTGTGCATGCAAATCCCTCACTTCTGCAGCCCAGCCTCTGTGACAGATGGCCCTGCATGATTTCACACGTCAGACACGCGGATCAAAATTGTGCACAAGCTAACGCATGCACGCGCCGGCAGACTCACACAGCGATAGAGAAGCATGACTAATGAACATCCTTTATGTGATGCAGTGTGCACCACGCTGAAGGCACTAACTGTAATGCAAGGCTGTGTGAATGTCGTTCAACACTTTGGGAATAATTATAGCATCTGTCCTGGGAGGTTGGGAAAACAGTCTCACCAATAGTTTCATTCAGTAGCTGTTTTGGAGCTTTTCATGAGGACATTTAGCCTGTGTTAGCTTAAACCAGTGCTATTTAAAGGGTGGGATTGGGTGGCTCAAGCAGGGGTGCGTCCAAATGGGTGGCCTGGCTCCTGTTGAATTTGCTCTCCAAGGTGGTCGCGGGGAGCATTCATCTTTATCCCCATTTGTTGATGATTTCTACTTCAGCAATATATGATGACGGGGATTGATCTTGTACTGAATATCAACACGTCTGTGATTCGTCGTTGGCGCACGGCTGCACAAATACCTACAACCGAATCCCAGCAGTGCTGATATTCAGTACAACATCTCGACCTTGAGTTTGATATTGATTTAAAAAACAGTACAATGATCAAATTATAGAAGAAAACAGTAAAAATTGTAAACTGAAAATGAACAGTTGCCAAGTAACCCAAAAGTTTCTTGAACTCTTGCTACTTTGTTTGTTTCCACAGTCAAGCTACATAGTTTAATGTATTTGTATCTTTTGATTGATCAAACAATAAGTTAAATAAGGGTCTGTTTTGTGATTCAAATAAACCATCTAGATTAATCAAACTGTCTGCTGTAATGTCAATTTACAGTAATCACTGATACACACTGTGAAATGTTCCAGATGTTGTATATAGTATTGTATCTTTTTTGTTACTTTTTAATGCTGCAGCTTATTAATTACTGGTCTATTTAACTCTCTTTAATCCAGGTGTCTGTGATCCTGACCCTGATGGTACCGTACAATGAGATTGACGCTGACGCCCCACTCATGGAGATGTTTGCCATGCATGGCTGTATGTTTGCAAAGTATATCGTGGCAGTTGGCTCCATTGCTGGACTCACTGTGTCCCTCCTGGGGTCCCTGTTCCCCATGCCCAGGGTCATCTATGCCATGGCGGGAGACGGCCTTCTATTTAAGCAAGTCCATACAGCTATTTATCCTTTTTTGTTTTATGACTTAAATAATGTTTTTAACTTGATCCCAATCAATTTTGTGTGTATCTTTAGGTTCCTGGCCAATGTTTCGTCCTACACAGAGACCCCTGCTGTTGCCTGTGTGGTGTCCGGCTTTCTGGCTGCCCTGCTTTCCCTTCTCGTCAGTCTGAGAGACCTCATAGAGATGATGTCCATAGGAACCCTTCTGGCCTATACCCTGGTGAGTGGTAGATAATGATGCTGTAAATCCATATAGACCCTATTGATACTTACAAAATAGAGCCTTCACATTATATTCACCACTCTGTGTTAAGCAATTTATATTGAGTATTTTATCAGTGCTTTCATGGCAGGCCAGTGGATACACAATGCTATCTTTCTTGGCGGAAAGCAATTGTGCATGAGCATTTTGTACTAAGCTCTCTGATTTGTCTGAGAGTCTGAGAGACTTACAGTTTGTCAAGGAATTTAATTTTATTTTGCAAAAGTTATGCTAATGTCAGATTTGGTGAAAAACACTCTGAGCGTCAAAGAAGCTTTCAATTACTGCACACAGCCGGAGGGATATTGCTGGGAAAGCTAATCCCTGCAACATATGATTTATACAGAATTATGTGATAGCTGTAAACATACATAAATAGAAGGTCTCAGCAAAGTCAGTCACACCAAGAATATACACAGAACATTGTACTGCAGCACAGCACAGCACAGGAATTAGTTGCTGATTATCAGAGCGATTGCCCTGCATGGGCAAACTTGGTGACTGAACTAGAAGTAAAGTAGCCAAACATGTGTAAAAGTAACTTGTAAAGGTTTATGAGTTTCTACCAGTTACTTTAAATATATTTAAGCCTCCCTACATAGAGGCCCCTGAAGAAATTTAAACCTACGCTAAGCTCCAGCAACAACCAAACTTGCTAAGAGTAGCTAGCTGCATCAAAGCTATTGTTCCTACCTTCTACTCATTCCATGGTAGCTTATTTTTATTAGGACCACTCTTCAGGCTACTTATGTTGGTAGCTTAATCTACACAAACTGAACGGGGCCCACCGTCTGCTTGAAGGAAGCTAGAGGTCAGCTGCCGATAGGTTGCTAGCTGGTGTTTACATACAGCACTGCATAGTGATGGTTAGTTTAAGATTAGCTGGTTTGTTAGCCTTGAAGGACATCAATCAATGAATGTGTGTCCCTCCATTAAGTTTAAGAAAAGTACTGTCAAAGATTAAATTCCATTGCAATCTTTGCTTACAACTCCTACAATGTGTAACTCGTGTGGAAGTTATCACACTACTTGGTCAGTTAAAATAACAAAACAACTTTTTAACCCAGAAAAACACTGCATCCACATTACTGAGAAATGAAGCCAAACTAGAAACTCCCTTACTTGTGGCACCACAACTTCATTACACTAAGTGAAAAAAAAAGTAATATAAACTGATAGGTTCACCTCAAAATATTTGAACCAATTTTACAGCTGGAAAGTCAATATTAGCATAAAACCCCTTTTTGTTCATTGCATTGCATTGTTCATTTGCAGGTCAGCCTCTGTGTGCTGCTGTTGCGTTACCAACCGGAAGGAGACATCCACGGCTTTGTGAACTTCCTTTCAGAAGAGCAAAACAACAAGAGGAAAGAAGGTGTTCTGGCTGAGTGTGAAAAGGATGCCTGTTCCCCAACCAGTGAAGTAGACGAGTATGGTGGACCGGCCACTAACACCTGTGGAGCCAAAAACCTGCCTTCACTGGGTGACAACGAGATGCTAATAGGTAAACCAGATAAAAATGCCTACACTGCCAGCCATCCGAACTATGGCACAGTGGATATGACCACTGGTATTGAAGCAGAAGAAACAGAGGGTGGGGTGACCAGACGGTTGAAAAAACTCATTGGACCACGCTACTACACCTTGAGGATTCGATTGGGCCTTCCTGGAAAGATGGACAGGCCAACTGCAGCCACAGGGAAAACAGTTACAGTGTGTGTGCTGCTGCTCTTCATCTCCATCTTCGCCTTTTGCTCCTTCATCATTTTTGGTGAGAACAAGAACACTAATTCAGACATCGAATAACAGTATACTCTTATCTAATTGCTTCTTTCTTGGTCACTCTTCTTCCAGGAATGGGCAGTATAGCCGAAGGAAGCTGGTGGGCTTTGCTGATATTAATCTTCTTCATCATTTTCCTTGCCCTGCTTATCATCATCATCCTCCAGCAGCCAGAGAACCCTAAGCGGCTGCCCTACATGGCACCCTGTGTCCCATTTGTACCTGCTTCAGCCATGCTGGTCAACATCTACCTCATGCTCAAACTGTCTGCCATCACCTGGATACGCTTTTCAATATGGTGCCTCGTGGGTAAGCAACCACCTTGATAAATTACATGTTTAAATTTTGTGTCTTATATTGCCAAACTGTTAAAATGAGTTTCTATCCTCATTTCTTGTCCTGGACAGATGGGAACTGACCTTGTTTTATTCTTAAAGAATGACTCACTGCAGTAGATCTCTCACAATAGAGGGATGCATTTCATAAATCTTGAGATTAGTCATTTCTTATTGACTCAGCACCCAATGATATCTACCAAGTGTTTCCACACACAAAGGCTTTTTTCACTCGTATATCCTCCCTTAGTTATATCTTTCTGTAGCCTCAAACCATCCAGACATGTTAATTTATTCTATCTTCAGCCCTGCCAAAATATTCAAGTGGGGCTTAGCCTATATGGGCTTTACCTGATAAAGTGGGTTTTAACAGGCCATTGGCTTAAGCTTGTCTTTTAGGTGAGTAGGGATTGGGGCCATACAAATGCCAATACCATTTATAAAACAGACATTGGTGCAATGTTGGTGCCTATTTGGTTACATATTACCTTTGTGGCTCTGTACGGAGAAGATCAAGGTGCCTTCATCAAGCCATCCATGTGGGGCTTCTGTGGAAACTGATGATAAAATTGGATAGAACCTGGTTGGGTGTTCAATATGAGCCTTCAATTCTTGAGTGCTGACGGTCTGACATACCTTCTCGCCTGTTTGATTTCTGTTAGGGAGAGGGATTAATCTATATCGATATCTTTATGAAGCTAGCACCTTTTTTAGGTCGACCCTGATGCTTAGCCCTGCCAACATGGAGGTTTGACTCAGATTTTAAGAACGGTAGATCACAAAGAAAAATCCAACTACAATATCAGGAAATGTTGAGTCCACGTATGTAAAAGAAGTATCTATATTGTCCATAACAGCTGTGATAGTCCTGTGACTTCTCCCTAGATTTTCATATTAATTAAAAAACACTGGTTTCCAACAGAGCGGTTTTTTGTACTCAAACACTGGTGTAATATTTACTGTGGGAGTAGGATTGGTGTATCCAACTGACTCACTCAGAGTGGGATGAATTGTATAAAGCTAATAGAAGGTTTTTACTCATTTCATGACTTTTACATTTGTTTAACTACTCTTTTAATGATGATGCAATCTCAGACACACTATTATAAGCTTTGTATTGACATTTGTCACTATCTCCAATCAGGTGTGCTTATCTACTTTGGCTACGGCATGTGGAATAGCACACTGGAGATCACGGCCAGAGAGAACGAAGTGCACGCCTCCACCTACCAGCGCTACGATCAAGGTGTGGATGAGGGCTTCTGCGGCTTTGATGACGATTTCTACCCACCTACCACTGAAAACTGGGCCGCCCCAGAGGGGGGGTCGGGGCTCACACCACCCCCTGTGGCGAAACCCGAAAGCGACGGGACGCCCTCTAAAGGTGGAAGCAGGACCGTTGCCAAACACGGCCTCGCCGAGGAGGATCCGATGGATTTCTGATGGGACTGACTCTGTGTTAACCTGAATGTACTGCCTTGTCTGCTGCCTGGGGGAAGGGAGGGGATCAGTAGTGTGACTGTGAGTGTGTGTGCGTGTGTGTGCGTGTGTGTGCATGCCTGCATGGGTGTGTGTTTATTCGTTAATTTGTCTAACCCTTGGGCTAGATAGTTTCTTGGCAGTGGAATGGTTTTACGTTGACCTCACTCTACCACGCTTGGCTGTTCGGCTTACACAGCTAAAGTGGACGTCAAGGCCATGAGTGTCCCGTCACTCGTCACTTGTAATTCACTTACTGGAGTCCACACACACAAAATGAAAGGCCAGATAAAGAAGTGCAGACCTAGCAAGAGATAAAATATAATGTGTTACACTGCACTGTGCACATTGTGTTAAAAGCAATCAGTTTACTGTTGATTTCAAAGAATTTACGGGATACAGGAGAGGAGAAGGTGATGAACGAGGGACAGATGATTCAGCACTTTTCTTCCCGTTTTAAGACACACTGACAGGAAAGTTAGATGATAGTTATGTCCTACGCACGTGTCTGACTTTCTCTGCTTGATTTAGGGAATCAGCTACAAATCCACTGTCTGTCTGCCTCTGGATTTCTGTTTGTCCCTGACCCCTAACATCTAGCCCAAGGGATCGCGACGGGATTTGGAGGAGGGTGTTGATGTTTTCTGTCTTGGACTTTGCTTGCAATAGTGCCTTCATCTATTTGTATGTGAGTTTCTGATTGTGTCTGTTTTCTACTTTCATTTTTGCCTGTGTATGCGTGAGGGTGTACGTGCAATCAAACTCCACATTTTACATGTTGGTGTGTGTAGATATAAACTGTTTTCTCCAGCTTGTTTTACTGTGTATGTGTAGCTTTTTGTTTCATTTTTGTTCCTCCCACTCCTTTTCCCAGCATGACACTCAAAATCAATGCACCTGCGACAAAGCAGCTCCTGGTGCAATATAACAAACACAATTCAGCTCACTGGTGTACAAAGAGGAGGGGGAGTAAATTGTGTAACAGAGAGGTTTATTCCAAATTGATACCAGCATGTTTTATTTGATGAACGTCATATTTTCTGTTTTCTGTCTTTTCGTTGTGCGTTACGCTCTGTTGATGCTCTCTTGCTCTTGTTTGCAAGCGTTGGGAAGGAGTTTGTTTTCATTTCATTCGATTTCAAAATGTTATTTTCTTCATGGATTGTATCTTCTCTCTTAGAGATGAAAACAAAAGAAAGGACTGTATCGAAATTAAAACAGATGGAAGGGGTCAGAAAATGGGTTGAATAGTTGTTGTATTTTATGGGCAGGTAGGGTAGTTTGACTTTTATAAAAGTGGGTGAGGGTTTTTTTTATTTTTCTCACCCCAGATGTTAACTTATTTTGCCAATTAATTGAGAAAAGTAAATAAGAATGAGTCCCAAATGCAAACATGGCAAATCACCATTACAAGAAATCGACAATAATTGTATGCATTGTCAAAAGGTAATTTCATTTTTTTTCATCAAACACTGATCCAAATTGTTATTCATAATTAGCTAAATTAATTATTTGAGAATGTGAAAACAACCCCCTTGTCCCAAATAATAATTTTCTTACAGTCCCTAACTTGGAAAGATTGTGTTGCAAATCAATTTTGCTTCACTGAGTGAACTGAAATCAACACCTTCCTCATCCATCTCTCTCCCCTCTCCCCTTCTTTTTACTCCTATCCACATCTTCTCATCCTCTACTTCCACCTCTCCTTTACTCTTCCAGCTGAACTCTTCCATATTCCATCTGCCACATTAACCTGCTCTTGAAATTCATCAAACCATGTCAGCAGGGAGCTGCCACTCCAGAGTCCAGAGTGATAGAGCTTGGATTGGGTTTCAGTCAGGATTTGAAACAGCAATCTGTTCACGGCCTGACAATCCATTAGCTCCTGTATCACCTCAGGGAGTCTGCTAGTGCTCTTCTGATTTATCACCTGAGCATTTACTCCCCTACCTGTAGTTCTGCTTTAACCCCAGCCCAAACTAGTCTGAATGAACCTCCCTCTCAAGTTTTATATGCATGTAGCTGTCGTAGAGTCTAACTCTTTGCATGTTACCTACACTGCTGCTGCACCGAGAATTGATATTGTGAAAATCAATCAAATCAAATCCTGGTCCTGAAGAGGCCATATGCAGGACAAGAAAACTAATGCTGCCACGTTGATGGGATTTGAGTCCACATGAAGAATGAATGCACTCAAGGCACTGTAAGAGATTCTGGCATACACCAAATAGCATTCTGTTGTGTCATTGTGTAAAGGGTGGGGGCATGTCTACAAAAGCTGCTGCTGTATGCCCCGATTGTCCTCTTTGTACCTTTTCCTCTTGCCCCCTGTTGCTGCATCTGTCCCTTCCAGGGAAGCCTTATTTGTCTAATGCACTAACTCTAAAGATGCCACGCTAAACCTCCCCACCCTACCTCTGCTTTTCTCACATTTAAACACAATCCCAAAAAAAACATCCCAAATGTAGAAATAGGCCCTTTTGTATTGTCCTTCCAAAGGATAGTGAGACGACCCAAACATATCAGCCCAGAATCCTGAGGAATTTATGCTTATTGGATGATTCTGCAGCTTTCCAGTGCAAGCAGTACTTTGCCCTTTAACATAGGGTGACAAGAAGTATAGGATGGGTGTAGCCGACCTTAAGCAGAAGTTGGGAAGCCCATCAAAGTATTTTTTATGGAAATGTATGTTGTGTAGTGGGTGACCTATAGTGAGTTTAGATTCTACATTTTTTAAGTTACATATTTTATAAATCTCAGTCAGCAACATAAGCATACCGATTGAGACAATTTTCTGCCTCTCCCTCTGCTGCCTTGTAGCACTCCACTAAGCTCCTTCCACATAATGACACACTAAACATCAACGCCACCCGTTGTCACCTTAACTGTCTGTTCTAATGAGACAGTTATGTCTGACTCAGAGGACAGAAACACTGAAAGCCGATCAATACACATAACAAAAAAAAAGAAGCTATGAGGTTATAAGTGGTTTGTGTTGGATAGCCGTTGTGCTGAGGTGAGGAGAGAGCGAGAAAGAGAGAGCTGCCGATAAAAATCTGAGAATTGTAGAAGCTGGAAGATGCGTCTTCTTGGTTGTTTGATTCAGACAGGATGATTAAAAAAAAAAATCAAAATGAAAACATAAATACGAAGGGGCTTTGCTCACAGACGCAGATCAGACTTCAATTTAATATTTTCTGTGATATACAATGATCAAAATGTGTTTTTTAAACTAATATTGTCATAAAATAATGTTTCCTACTGTAGCTTTAAAGTCTAGGAGTCAATTCCAGTATACTCAACTTTAAAAACAACAACTTTGACTTTCTGCAGCCATACAAAAGTTAATATTTGATCAATTCAGGAATTTCAACTTTTTTTTTTTTCAACCTTATAAAAATACCCTTATACCCTGGAGAAGATGTTAAAACAGAATTCCTGTGGTATCACTAAATTGCATAAATGTCCTGGCTACAGTTTTTTTTTTTTACTGTTACTGTGATCTTTTCCTTAAGTTACCTTAAATCTTCACCATATTTTTTTCAGCAAAGTCAAATAGAAGACAAAGTTTTTATGTCGATGTAGAAATATGTTTGTCATGTTGGCTCTGACCAAACCACTGTCCGCACGTAAACAAAAGGCTCGGTACAGTAGGAAATTATTAAGGTTTCTGCAGAATTGTCCAATATCCAGTTTTCTATCTAATGATGTGGGTTTAAAAAAGCATATTCGGAAATATTCAAGCCCTATCATCCTAGAGTATATCCATGTCCACATAATTTTCAGCTAAAATATCTTCCCCACCCGAATCCCTCCTGAACTCAGCTAAAAGAATCCAAAAGCTTTGCATTCATAGCTCAGCCAAAACAAGACACATACTTCAGGCCTGTCCATGCCTCTGACACTGGACTGTACAGTCAACTTTCTATATTATCTACTCTGTGTGTATGCACACAAGTGTGTGTGTGTGTGTGTGTGTGCGTGCATGTACAGTATGTGTGGGGTGTATGTATGTGGGTTCGTGGTCTGCGCCTGCGCCTCAATGTGAACGTTTGGTGAATGTGTAGCATGCTGTCAAGCACGAGGCCCAGACTGTAAATGTTGTACTTGCATGTGGTGACGGATTGAAATGAGACATAAATACAACACTGAACTAAAACAAACGCAGGCTTAGTTCTCATACCTGGGGACTGTGAGGATTCACCAGGTGTACTACAACAAGATCAGCTTCTAAAACATAGTTTGTCACTGGTGGCATAAACTGAAAGGTATGGTTAGAATTCATTGAATGGGCCACGAGAAGATTATTTGCTAGATTTATATTCACACACTCCCAGATTTCTAAAATAATCTCCTCACCCAGGTAAGGGAACCAGGGCTTCGTTTGAAAAGGAAGTCGAACATGTAGCAAACACATGAGTGTGTGGGACAGTCTGTTCTTACATCCTCCCTCAAACACTTACAGTAAAATCCACCTCATGTATTGTCCCTCTTCTTTACCACAACCTCTGCAAGCCAAAGTCCACTAAGTTTGTTTACTTTTCACAAAAAGGTGAACGAAGTTTCTTAAAATGAACACTTTAAACACAACAGAACTAATGTCTTTTTTGGGGGGGTTGTCTGTGTATAAGCTACAAAGGTTAAAGTTCACCACAAGAAGACAGATTTTTTTTCTCACAGTGGCTTTAGTAAACAGTGCAATGATCATTTCTTAAAACCTACAGTAGTTGCTAAGTATTCTTTAAGAAATTCAAAGTATTAGTCTAGATTTTATTGACTCAGTAGATTTGTTTGTCCAGCATGGACAAAAAAAAGTGAAAAAGTACAACATTGACAGAGAAGTGATCACTAAGAAAAGTATTTTTCTACAGCTGTCTCCCATTCACAGGTGTGCACAACAGAGCTGGGTGGAGTTATTAGCCTTTACATTCAGTTATTCTTGTTTTTTAATTACAAGAAAGCCTGGGAGAAACAGCTATAAAAAATATATTTTTACCAACCGTAGTCTCTCTAGAATAATTACATTAATTCATAAACGTTAATCCTTTCCTTTGAAGGATTATGACATGGTTGTGCTAGGCGTAAATAGGACTGTAGAAGGTTTAGGAGTAAGAATACTACAAGTAACATGCAGAAACTATTTTAATACAATTCTATTAAGGGTAAAAAGCATAATCAAATATTGCCACTATTGCTTTTAAAGTCAGCTGTTTATTTTGTCTCAGAGAAGGTGTGCCATGTTCTTCCTGTGCTCTGTGTTCGCTGTGGCCAAGCGTCCAGTCAGTGATGTTGGACCTGTTGGGGTCAGCTTCTCTCGCAACAAATAGATATTCCTTTTCTCTTCTGTATATTTTGGCACAAAGCTGTATATGTAGTTGTTTTTTAATGTACATTTTTTTTAATGGTTTCTTCCATATGTGTGGTTATTTTGCTCCTGGGTGCACTGTTTTTTTGCTGAGTTGTTGATATTGCTTCCATGCAACAATGAAAGTTATTTATTGCAAATACCAATGTCAGGCTTGCTCGTTATTTGAAACTGTCCTACACTGACTATGTGAATGCTATATATATATCAGGTTCAGTCCATTCTCGGCTACAATAAGGCCTTATTTGACTCTATGTTTAAAGGTACAGTGTATTTCCATCTTTTACCAGGTAAAAAAGAACTAGCTAATTTATGCTTAAACATAAACACACTTCTTACCAATAGCGTTCAAACTTGTCATGCTAACTTGGAAGGGAACATATTGTAAGGCAGTCCCGAAAGGATAAGCTATCATAAGCATATCAATTGTGTCCTGCATTAATATTTTGATAATGCTATTTGATTGGAGAAGAAGTTAGCTAGCTCCCTGAGCCTATAACGTTTGGAAAGAACAAGCAAAAACACATTCCTGGACTATGGCTAGCAGGTTTGCGGTAAGATAGCTGAGTCCATGGTTTACAAGAACTCCTAGCTTATTTATGCTTAAACATACTAATATACACTTTTTACCAATAGCATACACACATGTCATGCTAACTCGGAAGGGAATGTTCAGCAGGGCAGTCACAAGATATGCTGTTGTAACCCATGTTTCAACAATGCTATGTGGGTGGATACCAAGTTAGCTAGCTTCCTGAGCCAAAAAGCTTTGGAAAGAACGAACAAAAACACATTCATGCACTGGCTAGCAGGTAAGCCGTAAGCTAGCATTCTTTGCAAAGTAGCCATAGTCCTGAAAATAGTCACAAAACCACCAAGCTTCATACACTTGACATATGGTGAGGGATACGCATTTTAACGATGAATTGTGTTTTTGTCCACTAATAGTTTTGTGGAGCAGTGTTTTATATGTGGTTCTCAGTATTGTAAGTTATTTTTTTATGAGCATAAATATAGGAATGTTCTAGCAATAGAGGCAACATTTAGGTGGTAAGATGCCAAGAGACAAATGCACCTGAAACAGTGGTACAGGAGATTGAAAGCTATGGAAAATGCATGTGAATATTGCACTTTTATACAAAAAGCATACTTTCTGATACATGATGGGGAATGAAAAGCATATTCAACACATCTTTTGGAGATCAAGGACTCAAACAATGTGCTTTTGTAACACTGAATACAAAAAGAAACTTTGATGGTTTAAAGAAAACTCAACTGGGTACATTTAACTTCTCTGTGCCGCTTGGTTGCTTTTCTAAAGAAAACAAAAAAGGTATGTACTGTACCTCTCATGTTGCATTTTGTTATTAGCTGGCCAAACCATTGTTTTACCACCAATTCGCCAGCAGTAGCAACCTCCCTTTGATACATGTAATACTGTTAAGATACGGTTAACTACTTCAAGTTTATCTGTATTAGAATCAAACCCTTTACAATGCAAAACGGATCACAGAGGGACAAATATGTATATATACAGAGTAGCATTCAGAAAAGTTTAAAGAAATCACTGTATTCCTTTAATTGCCTTTTTTCTTGTTGTTGTTCGACCCGCTAAACAATATGGAAGTGAACAAGTTCCAAATATTATTCTAAGCTTTCAGCTTCTTTTCAATCTCTCTCTCTCAATTAACCTTAAAGGATTTTTGAGGAGATAGCAACATTTTAGCTTAGCAAATTCTAACACTACCAGCCTCTGTCAGCACTACAGGACAGCTTGCTTGCCCACCAACCTCCTACTGTCCGCCTGTGGACTGGATGGATCTGTGCCTGGAACAGCATCGCATTCCAAAGAATACACACACACTGACATTATCACAAACACACACACTTACGCGGGAGTGCCAGGAAACACACAAACATACAGTAGACTTGACAGAGTGATATGTAGAAATACAGGAACTGAGATGAGGAGGAGATACACAACAAGGACAGTCGGGGGCTTGGGTCTCTGTGTGTCTGAAGATAAGCCGAGGAAAGTGAGATAACACATAATGTAGCCCAAGTATCACGTTATAGCAATTACATGACTCAGTGACCTTGGTATGGACAGAGGAGAAAACATTCAGCAATACACTGGGTACAATCGCCCAGTGTGTGCGTGTTGTGTTTGTGTGGTCGGCAGGGGAGTAATGGTACAGTTAATCTGTGCTGATTTAACTCAAGGTCACAGAGTGTCATTAGGTGATACACTAAAAACAATGGATGTTTTCTCATCTTATTTTCACACATATGACACGTGTACCACAGGCACACGCACACACTACACAATACACACTTTTTACATTTACACACACACAACAACACTCACAATTCCTCTGACATCACGCTAAATTTCTGTAAAATGTTGTCTGGCTAGGCTATAGGTTTCAAATTATCTGAATGAAGGGAAACCCAGAAGGGACATCAGTCATTTAATCCATTTGCTACTGTTACCGTTAAATGTGTTCAAGATTCATGTTCACATTTCATAATCAAACATTTTGTATTGAACCATGTAACACTATCAAACAGTTATGTTAGCTTGAAAGTGGTTGAATGCTAACATTAGCTGTTGTCTTAAAGCAGCCAAATATTCAAAAATATGCAGTTTTGACTTAAAATATTGCTCGAGGCCCATCATAGTTTTTGATAGCAATTGTATCTAACATATTGCATAACAATATCAAAGCAGTGAAGGGGGAAATATTTGTCAGATTTTATCAGAGTACTAGAACTCTGGCTGCTTCTAAACGTGAGGGTGACGTATGGGGAAAATGCCCACCATGAGTTTCAACGTTCACGTCTCCCCGCTCGTTCTGTTCCTTTTTTCTGATTGAAATGATAAACCCAGATTCAAGAAAGTAACTGTTTGATAGTAGATCATTGACTCGGTGCAAACTCCCAGGGGCAATAGCAGTTTAAATTCATTTGTCTTTATTGTAGAAAATCAAAAAATAGCAGATCAGTGAAACAATAAATAATCAGATAATGATGCTTTTACACAGATTTGTAAATATCAGGTTCCACCTGTGTTCAGAGCTTTTGGGATATTGAACATTCAAGTCATCACACTCAAGATACGCTTATCTACAAAATACTAATTTAGTGCATATTAGTGAAACATACTTTTAGCTAAACTCTTTTTCAAGAGCTACTCTATGTGTAAATTAGGCTAAAAAGTTAACTGAAAATTTAAAATTGGACAGTTAAAAGGATATGCTGCTTTTCTTGTACGCTATATGTTACTCAACATCAAAAAAATAAGCTAGTCTGTCATATCAAAGTGTGTTTGGATTCGGAAAATTACTGTCAGCACCAATCAGACGAAAACAAAGACTGTAAAACCCTATAGCTCTTTTGTGAAATTTATGTTTTCATCACTTTACAGTCCTCCTGCAGCAGCTATATTTATGTCTCCTGTTTTTTAGTCAAGTCTAACACTCCAGAGGCACACAAACAATGGTAACAAAGACATTTAGTTCACTGCGCTTTTCCAAACAACAGATCATGATATTATATAATTAGAAAAACACATTTATCATCAAAGATTTCATCTCAGGGAGCATCTACATAGAAAAATAGAAGTAATATAAATGATCAATATCTCCATCCACAAGGGCTGTGGTGATTAAGACCTCGGGCTTCTGTGTAGGCAGTTCATCACGATGCTGTAAATAATTGAACAGTCGGGAGAGTCCACACCGCACCCAACATGAGGAGGCTGGAAAATGAGCTCCCTGATTTAAAAAGAATCCATCAAACAAAAAAAAAGAGCTCCAACAAACACAGCCTTTGCGTGTCAATGTCTTTTTGATGTCTGCATGTTTGCACCAACATGAATTACTTTCTCTCCTGCGTTTGTATGTGTACTTGTATGTTGGAGTGTTTGAGCTAATGCACATGTCTCTATATACACGCTAAAGTCCCCTCGACATCCGATCAGAGTAACAAACTCTCCAATCTCAGACGTGGGCGCTCTTGGCGTGATTGGTGGAGGCCACCACTGGGGGGTTAGCACCACCCTGTTTGGAGTAATAGAACCGATTGTTGTCCTGGTAGGAGTGTGATGAGGAGGAGGAATCTGAGGAGCAACAGGTAAGAATGCACCCACCCAGGAGGGAGAAGACGGTGCCTATCCATCCAGTGAAGAGGGAGAAGCCAAATGACATGAGGCCTTGGTCCCGGTGTGCACCAATAGGGAACCAGATGGTAGACACAATACCACACAGTCCTGAAGAAAGGCAGATACAAATAGGATATATAATCTTTGAAAGATAATTTTCAAACACAAATAATTTACTATAAAAAATGGCCAATACTAAGTGTTATTAAATCATGAATACAAAATTGCGCTCCTTATTATAATGAATATAACATGTTGTGCATCAGCCATGTTTAAGGCATATGACATAATAGAACTGGGGATGCCAAATGGCACATATGACAGAAAATCTACAAGTTTTCAACCTAGAAAAATTGGCCAGCTCAAAGTTGACCAAGTTTGGAATGCAAAGTAGAGGGCTTGCTTAAATGACAAATAATGACTGAAAATGGGGATGCAAAATGAGTCAACAAAAAGGAGTCATTGTCACACGAGCTTGGCCGAGAGAATTGATCAAAAAACAAAACATAGTGCAATTATATTGAGATTTCATATGATACTACAGCATTATGAATCTATACACACACATTTTTATAACTGTGGTATCTCAAAGAGGCAACTACATAAAATAAGGGATGCAAAATGGTGCGCTTAAAACCCAACACTCTACATCTACTGTATAACCATAATGTGGAAAGGTAAAGTGGTGAATGGTAAATGACTGACAGTGAAATGGAATTCAACTAGGGATTCAAAATGCTAGTCTTAGTTAGTCTTTGAGTTACAGAAATGTTTCTTATTGGAGTAATAAATTAAATGATGAATTAAATGACCAACCCTTGGTATTAAAAAAAAGTTTAATGAGATAGTTAACAGGAGAGTGGAAGTATATGTGCTAAACTCCTCCTATATTCCTTATATATTAATAAAACAAGAACTTTGGCAAATTGTGTCCAAAGCACAGTAGAAATAGCAGAAGCTTTTTCAAATAAAACTTTTCAGTTTTGTTTTTGTTTTGTTTCCTCATACAGAACGCAGGGGGATGACTGGAAGAAAGAATGTGAACAATAATATTGGTTGCCAGTGAGACTTAATGGTGTTACATAAGCTTTGCTTTGAACTACAGAAGAGAGGCACGGTCAAGACAAACACTAAAATCCCCATGCAGCTAACAGAAAAACATCTAGTATATGATGGAATGTTGCCAATCAACACCTGAGGCTAACAAAGACCAATTGAAAAAATATTGATGTACTGCGCGAGAGTCTGCAATAATTGAATCCACAATTTCTGTGTGGACTGAAAATTTCATAACTGATAATTCAGAGGACACAGTTAACAAAATTATTCAAGTTCAATTCAAACAAATAGCTGCTGGGGTGATTTCGATGCCACAATGGAGGCAGTGATAGGCAATATGGTGCCCCAACATTTATTCTGCTTTGAAACAAGCACACAACAATCCACCCTGCAGTGCGCCCTATTAACAAAGTCAGGGCTTTCCCTTTTTTAATGGTCTGGAATATGTTGCATATGTTGGAAACAAATAAAAAACATGGCCAGTTGAAAAGTGGAACAGTGGGCACAGGTGCAGAAATGTCATGTGAGGGACAACAGGCGTTGGAAAATTCTGCAGCTCCTGTCACAGATGTATAAGCACAGTAAACTGGGGGCGAGTGTTTCCATGTGGTTCAGGATAACAGCAGGGTGTGGAGGAGAGTAGGTGGAGGAGTGGAATGCGATTGGATCTAGTGGGATAGGGTCTATGGAACAGGAAGACATAAGTGTGCATGTGCAAAAACAAAATCACCCTAGGGAGGAAGACAGTCATATTTAACATCCTCCGCCCTCTGCAGCTTGTAAGCATTTGGGGTGGGGGTTAGAAGAGGTCACAGCAAGGAGGATTGGGAGGGGTCTAGTTGTTTGCCTGTGATTGCAAAACTATTTGACATGCTCAGATTTACTGTGTATTTTGTTTCACTGTTATCATTCCCTTCCGTTTCCTCCCATGCATTTTAGTTGCATTATGTGAGTGAAGTGAAGAGTAAAGTTGAGCCTCTTACCAACTATAAGTATAATTACTCCTCCCAGGATGGTCCTTTTGTTCTTAGAGCTCTGCGGTTCATTGCCAAGGTTGATGCAGGGCATTGACATGAGGCACATTATTACTGCAGGGAGACCCAGTATTGACCCTGCCACCATCAGAGCACGAGTCGTCTGGACGTAGGCTATTGAAAAAAACATGAAACAAATATTATTTTGTAAAAGAAAAAAAAACAGCAAAAATGTCCTCCATCACATACGTTTTAAAACATTTTCATGGGAAGGTAAACGCAAAAAAATGTGGAAAAAATATATTGTTATGAACTTGCATAGACAAGTAGGAAACTAGAAAGCAACATGAATAAATCTGAAGGAATAAAACCAGGTTTTAGTTCAGGTTTTACCTGGCAGATCCAGGATCTGGGTATACGAGGAGCAGTGGTAGAGTCCCGTGGAGATGATGCACTCCGCCCAGGGTCCCTTTGCCCCAAGCTCATCCATCTTCTTGCAGGTGTTCAGACCATATTTGCACATAATCACCCAGTCGTTGGTGAATGTCGCAATCACGATGCCCAACCAGCCGAGGAAGCTGATGAGAAAGCCGCTCAGTTGAAGACACGAGTTTGCCATGGCACAAAAAAGGTGCGTAAAAGCACTTGTTCTGAGTTCACGGCTAGAAACTTAAGTTAGTTTGGCACAAGTGAAACAAAACCTTAAATGACACAGTGTCAAATCTAACTTCAAAACTGAAATTCCACCACAAAGTTAATCCAGAGCTGGAGTTTTTTTCTGCTCACAATTTAGTAATCCCATCAATTGAGCTGCACTGTGCGCTTCCACAGAATGAAGCTTCCACATTATCAAAGGTTTTATAGGCAGGCGTTCAGTGAGGGAGGAAAAAAAACACTTGAAAACCAACAACCAACCAGATTCTTAGATGTCAGATGAAAAAAGGGAGGGAAAAGCAACACACCCAACTTTTTACTTTCTCTCCAAAAAGTTGGCGTGCACTGCCCCTTCAATGCTTTCACTGATAGATTACAACCAGCAGACTGGCTGACCATTCAATGGAAGCTGACGGAAATTTAACAAGAAAATCTGCTGCCATCTACTGGCTGAATTATGTTTTTATTTTTTTATAACCTCAAGAGTAATTTACATCCTACCAAAACATAATATTCCTCTAGATTCTGAATAAAATACTTTTAAATGCGATAACAATAAACTCAATAACAGTTATTAATAATAATGTTTTATAGCCGCTGCAGAAGGGGTGCAAAAAGAACAACATCTGCATAGAAATGTGAGGGAGCAGAGTTTAAAGTCGTATAACTTGAAGACCCTATTATACAGGTTGCAACAATTTCACTCAATGTAAGCGTATTCAAACTGTATTCCCAAAAAAGGAAAATAAATACTCTTGGTCCTTTTAATCTGATGAAATGAAAACTTGACTATCCTGTTCCTCTACTTAGAATGAAGCAAAACAAGCAATTAAAGTGTTACTGCACAAAATATTCTGCACAGAGAAAGTGCATGCCATTAATCAAGCTAATTACACTTTGCACAACAACTGTGATTGACCTTCAGAGTGTACCAGCAATCTGCTTTGTTATACATTACGGTGTTGTTGTGTTGCAGTGGATCTCAATGCTCTGGCTGGGGCCGTCACAAGAGGGTATAGAATTATTGAGATCATTAACAGGAAAGGAATTAATAAAACAGCCTCTTTCAAGCATGCATTCCTGAAAGTTTCTTGACAGTTTAAGGAAAGTTTGCCCCTGATTTCTTCCTGAGTTCCCAGTTCACATTATGCACCTCACAGCTTGAGACTTTCCAGGGGGGTTCTCAGGAATGAGGACATGACAGCGAACGATGCCAGGATGCATTTTTGCCTCTCCTGTCCAATAGAAACTGGAAAGAGTGGTAAAGAACTTGTAAGCAGAATAGAGTATAAAGAAAGTATAAAGTATTCACTCTGTCCATGATGACCAGAAAATCAGTTGCAGTTACTATCATAAACATCATCATCTCCGTCCTCTCAAACAGTGTCCTGAATATGTGCTCATCTTGACTTCTTGAGGATAATTTTTACTAGGGGCTGGGAGGAAACTCTTCAGATAAAATTAAAATCTTTACCTTTTTTTAAACTTTTGAATAACTGGATAGTTTTGCACCTTTTAGGCTCAGAAACATTGTTTAAAGTAAACCAGAGGAATATCTATCTGGTTGTATAAACCACAAACAGAAGGCATGTATAGTATGGTGTACAGTCCTGGGATTTGTCGGAAAAAATTACAAAAAAGAAAAAAAGAAATGAGCATTAAAGCTTTGATTTAGCATATATATCAAACAATTTTAACTGCAAGTTTGCCTTGATGGCCCCTAAATCAATAATTTGGACTCTCTGTACTCCAAATGACCAACAGAGGGCGACATAGCTCAGCATTGGCCTTCAGTTGACTTTCAGATGTTAGACAGGATAGTGTTTCCTTCTTCCTGCCCTTGCTCAATGAAGTTAAGTCCTCCATCACTCACATCAGCTCAGTGACGTTGCAGCTGCATAGCAATCAGTCTGAGAGGAGGACAGAGACCAACGACACTCTTCAGGTAGTTCCACAAGGTCAGTCTCTGTAATGGCATGTTTGGCCCACTTCTTCCTCTCATGTTCGCCCACTGCTCCTGTGTCCTGTTATCTGTCTTGGTCATGGGAAGGGGCCCTGTTTACACTGTCTGACATTTTGGCCCCTCAAGTACGTGTTTTGAATATCTAAGCAGGAAAAGCATGTAATCTGGTGTTTTCTGGTCTGTTTTGTTTTGGACAAAATCAAATAGATATAACAGATATCGGAAAAAGCCGGTTTCATACTCAGGTATCTGTATTTTCAGGTCATTGCAATTTGCCTGGAGCGCTTGCAATTTCTCACTTCAGTGATGTTTCCCAACAGTTACCTTACCTTACCTTACCTTTCCAAATCTATCATGAGCTGCATTTTTTTCTTAATTCAACCAGCTGCACTGAGTGGAAAAAAAAAAAAACATACAGAAGGAAAAATATGAAACGGATCAGCGGGACAACAAATTTGCAGAGAAACAAAAAATGCTGGTGCGAATCTTGTATTAATGGCACACGTTATCTTCTTATTGCTTCAGCAATATTTTCCTGCAGCTGCTTTAAAGTGAAAAACACTGAAGATAATCCATTATTGCTTCAAATGCTGCAGGAGGTACTGTTATGTGAATGAAGCCTCCTCGTGTTTAAGAAGGGACCACAGGTACTGAATCAATATGAATGCTTTGTTCTGTTTTTTTCCACAGCTTTTTTTGGCAGCAGATACATTTTACTCCAGTCAGATACTTAGATGGAGAGCTGGAGGCACTTAGTGAAGTACAGGCAATTAGAAAGCAGCTCTCTCGCACAATCTGGGAGCCCCCTGACACTGCCCCGGTCAGCCCTCAAGGCCTTGAACCAGACCCGGCTGACACTCCAGCAGGTGTTTTTTGGTCGGCTGGATAAGGCTTGTGTCTACAGTTTATTCAAGTAGACATGTGGGGCATGTTGGGTGTCAACAACACAACCACACTGAAGTATATGCACAACCACCTACATCTCACGGAAGGTCCCAAATTAAGATCATCTGTGTGCATCTTATTTAGCCAACTGTCACTTCCAAGCCTTCAAATTTTGGTCAAACCTTCATTTTGTCCTCAATCTTATTGTTTTCATGTGACGTTGGTGGCTTAGTATCAATATATATATATATTTAAAGCATTATCTGAGTATGTTTTACTTCATATAACTGTATTTTTCTTTACAGCAAAACATTTCAAATGTCTGATGACTCATCCTACACTCAGGGGCGTTTTTTCCCCCGACCAATTAAAACGCATTGTCGAGCTAATGATCCAATCAGGTTTTGTCCTGCCTTCTGTCTTATAATTTGCAGTGAGTCTCACTGTATCACCGGGACTTCAAAGCTGTTCATTAGCACTTACAGGCTAATCCTCGCATGAGTTGTTCTTACCCTCAGATGTACGTTGATTTGGACAAAAGTTTCTGTCGGAAAAGTTGTAAAATAGGAAACTTGTGTCTGCAAGATGGATATAAAAATGTATTTGGTTGTTGTGGATTTGAACAGCTAATTTAACAGCTTAATCTGAAGGACGAACCGGATGTAGCATATTGCACACCTTACCTTCGAGTGGCACCTAGCTCTTTATATATTGACGATTACAGCTACAGACGCAGCTAGTGAGACGTGTTTGTCACACCCAAGGTAGAAGCGGTTAGATACAAACACATTATAGATCACTGAGGAAGTGGTTGGAGCCAGTCGGCCATGTAACAGACAGTGTTACACTTCATCTATCCCACCATTACTTTCCAACTTTTTCATATCTTCATGGATGGATGGATGGATGGATAGATAGATAGATAGATAGATAGATAGATAGATAGATAGATAGATAGGTAGGTAGATAGATAGATGGATAGATAGATGAGTGTGTGTAGAGAGGAAGTTGTGAGAGTAGACTGAGCATGAGTAGGGCAAATCCCACGATGATTCCCAGAGCAGTTTGTCTGATACATGAAGAGTGAGGCGGCAAGGGAATGGGAATATTATGCTAATGGGGTGAGGATTGCAACAGCGACACTGACATAGAGGGATGATGGGATTTTAGCCCTCCTGGGGAGGGAAAAAGGGACGACGGGGCATGTAGACTGTGTGGGTGTGGGTAGATGGGGCGTCTGAACACAGCAGAAAGTTTGAAGCACAGTGAAGCCGTAGGGAGAGGATGCACAGCAGAGAGACTCCTCTCCTGCTCATGCTGTCAGATCTGTCAGTCAGGCGATTGAAAGCAATGAGAAGCAATGACACACTCCGTCTCTGTAAGGCAAAGGCTAGTGGTCCAGATCAGAGGTGGTGGTGCAGTCGAAGACGATGAGTTATGAGTGGGGAGGTGAAGAGGGGCAATGATTAAGAGATTGGAAGAAGAAGGGAACCTTTTTAGGCCAGCCCCCCCCCGGTGATGGAGTGGCAGCCATATTGGATGAGTCATCCTGGCCTCGGGGTGCTTTTTCAAATAGTTGTCAAGTCACATTCTGTGATTAACAGGAGGCAGACGCCATGAGAGGAAGATCTGTTTATGCTGCGGTGACGTGACTCGAACTGATGAGGTTATCCGTCAAAGCGAATCACAGTTGATCTGTTGAGATAAAAACTACGTATTCATAATTCAATTCTGAAATGCACATTTCATGATCTGATCTCTAAAAGTGGAATCAGGCAAACAGAGGATCATGTTTTTCATGAAAGATCTCCTGTTTAATTTAGGGACAACATTTTATGAAAGGAAGAACCTGAAATATTGACAATAAACTCTCGGTGACAAAAGAGAGAAGATATTTCTATATTCAAATGTAAGGCATTGTAAGTAAAATGAGAAGTTTGAGTGAGTGTTAATTAAATCCTCTCTTGCAAATGTACCTAAATTAAATTGAGGTCCCTTCTTCGTTACACTGATGAAAATGATTCTATATCCTTGGCTGTATGCCTGGTGTTAACATGCATCCCTTGTCTGGATTTCGCACGCACACGATTAAGATGGATTACTCTAACATCTCCTTCCCTCCCGTGATATGCATATCTTTATTTCACATTACTTCCTGTGATAATGTTGCCATCTAAGCTGACTACTACCTGTTTGGCATGCATGATACACTTCCTGGTGGAGTTTTGCATGAGAACTTTTGCATAGCATCTTTTTCTCTCGCGGAACAAAAAAAAAATTATCGGTATCTTTTTTTTCTTTCCAAACATGCAGA